GCAGTAAGGTCTCAAAAAAACAAAAGAAAAAATGAAAGTTACATAAATTGCAAAGCAAAAGTAAATGAAAAGAAATAATGACAAACAGAAAGCAATCATAGAGTAATAATAGAAGGAATATATTCACTTGTGAATTGTTTGGAGTTGTTGTCTGGCACTGGAGCTGCTCTGTATAAATTTGGCTACTGGAATAGCTAAACAGTTGGCGCTCATCAAAATTTTGAATTTGTTAACATCCGACATGTTGGTGAAATTGATACTATGTTCGATTGTTTCTTCAAACAAAACACATCTTTGTTGATTATTGAATGAGCATGATATCATTAAATATCAGACCATTTGAGTGACTGAGTTTATAATATACTGGTAAATAATAACCATAATAATAATAACCATAGAAAAAATGTAAATGCATCTTCAATGTACAGGCAATGTACATCAAGAGTTTCTGAGGCGACCATATGTATAGTACTCTGACAGCAGACATCTCAGTTCTTGGACTTCAAACATTACAGGTACCATATCTTAAAGTGACCTTGTGTTCTGACAGCAGACATCACATAACTATTTCTGAGACAACAGTTCTCAAGTAGGCCAAGAGTGTTCTGAGCCTGTTGTGTAAGGCACCATTGTAACAGCTGTTACTAGAGATTTACAAGTAGTTCAGGAGTTGATGTCCAGAGTGATGATTCTGACAGCAGACAATGGAGTAGTACAGCAGCACAAGTTTTCAGAGAAAGCCACATTTTACCCAGGCAAATCATGTGTGCCCTCATACCAAGTGATTATGACAGCAGACAGCCCAGGTTTTCAAAGAAAGCCATATTTCACCCGGGCAAATTATGTGTGCACTCGCACCAAATGTTTATTCATGCAGGAAATAGAAATAACACCTTTTGAAATAACCCCTCAAAAAATAAACAACAATGTCTGCAAGACATCACATTTAAAGATACACAGTTTTACTTGTTATAAATTTGACATAAAGACATCACACATTACAAGAACAAAAGTTGCGCAATATGACATTGAACAAATATATCAAGAATGGAATGTGACAAAATACAAGACAACCTGATCTAGAATATATACCAGAATTCAATTCAAGTTTCGTTTCCATTCAAGTTTAGTTTTTTTCACTGATGTCTATTTCTGGATTGAGATACAGATACAGCTGAAATGGTACACTGTATTGCCATGATACATGTGAAGCAATGTAATGTATTGTATGTGTACAGATGGAATGATAACAAAGTACAAGAGATGGGAATGGATGGAGAACACAGACACAATGAACCACGACTAGAAAATGACTACAAAGCAAAGCAACATAAAAAAGATGACATAAAAGCTCATTTGCTGTATTTGTTTTGGCACATGTTCCATGTCACCTCACCAAATGAGAAAAATGTTAAGCATATTTAAAAGATAATGCAGATAGATAGAAATTTAGGTTTGAACCAAAAATAATCTTTAATTTCTATTGGTATGTCATTTAAAACAACAAAGGACATTTTGGATAAAACATGTCAATGGATTAGGAATACAAAACAATTTGCAAAAAACAATGGTCTTTACGAAAAAGAAGAGAATATAGAATTATAGATGTTATAATAAACATTAATATAAAAACAATACAAATATAATTAATAATAATAAATTATAATAGTTAATATAATTTGCTATAAATACCAAAATATAAAACTATATTTATCTCATGAAATATTTGATTAATATTAATAAAATGAATAAATATTGAGATGTAATAAGTTTGTCCTACCTATTTCACAATGAGTACCACTCCATCCATCGGGGCATTGACAGGAATATGTGTTCATACCATTTATGCATGTAGCACCATTTTGACAAGGTATACCGGCACATTCATCTATGTCTGAAATGAACACACAGGGACATGACAGAAACTATTTTTGAGTCAGTGTATCAAATATTACTACTTAGTATCTACACAGGAAATCAAATGAGCTTCATAGTTTAATGTGAGTAACGTGCAACTCTTTTTTATTTATTTACTGAAACAATAATATGAATCTTATCAAACATTCAATTGTAGTGCAAGACCCATCACTCTCCCAAGAATTTTGGGTCAGCAAATTGAGCCAATTTGCATACTCATTAGCATTAGTGTTTTTATAAAGTCACCAATATTGGGTGGTCACAGGTTTGACCCTACCAGGTAGTTGTTAGTAACAAAACTGGCAAAATCCATATGATGTCAAAAGTAGCTTCATCAATTCACTTAATTACAGTTTTACGATGATATAGGGCACTACACGTACAATACATACTTCAGATGAATATTGGAGTATAGAATTAGTTACCTATATCACAGTTAGTTCCAGTCCATCCTGGTAGGCAATAACATGTATATTTATTCTGGGTATTCAAACACGGAGCATTATTCTGACATGGATTACTGGCACACTCATCAATGTCTGGGTAAATAAAACATGATATTTGAAATAATAACTGTATTTTACTTGTTGATTAGTAATTAGTTAGTGATTAAACTAAAAAAAACCCACAAAATTGACATTTGAAATAACAGCCTCATAACACTTTCAAAATTATACTACCTAATTGAATGAATAAATCTATGCTTGAGATAATGTACCATATTATGTATACAAGTAATGGTCAACATTTTTAACAGCAAACCAACTGAATTCAAACACTAGAAATACAGCGGCACACAAAATTAGTAATTTTTATTATGTCTATTCTGAATAACCAATGATTATGTTTTACAACTGACTCAGCAAAGTATAACTACAGTTTTTGCATTCAGTATATGGGTCCCATGCTACATATACATGTGTACAATAAATACTAGTAGTTGACATAAAAATCAACTTAGTAATAAAAAATATGTACCTGTAGTACACCTGAGTCCTTGCCATCCTGGGGCACATACACAACTAAACTGGTTGATGCCATTAATGCATTCACCACCATTGGAACATGGGTTACTAACACATTCATTATAATCTACAAGAAATAAATAGTAAACAATTTGTGAATGTTATCTGAAACGTACAAGACCACATATTATAATGGAGTTGTAGGATTGTTATCTGAAACGTACAAGACCACATATTATAATGGAGTTGTAGGATTGTTATCTGAAACGTACAAGACCACATATTATAATGGAGTTGTAGCATTGTTATCTGAAACGTACAAGACCACATATTATAATGGAGTTGTAGCATTGTTATCTGAAACGTACAAGACCACATATTATAATAGAGTTGTAGGATTGTTCAAGTGCATGCATGTGTCATTCACAATATTCTTTGAGTACATTCATCTAGGTTTCTTCCGAGAGTAAAGATGAAATCTGTTGTGAAATCATCTGTATTTATCCTATGTATGATACAGAACTTATTACATGACAATATGTTATATCACGTCTGATTTATGAGTGGTCTTGGGATTTTGACGAGCCGTGAAGCGAAGAGTTTGAAATTTCTAAGAAATTTTTTTAATTAGTCTATAACTCCACACATTGAATGTTGTTTGGATAAACCGACACGGTCAACGTAATGTCTAATTGAATGTGGACATAAAAGTATAAAGTAACGTTCCAAATGTTGAGCAGCAGTAAGCAAATATTCAATTTTCTACCTCTGCAAACTGTCATACTTTTTGTTTGATTAGTCATTTTCAGTCAACCATGGAATGCAATAATCTTACCAATATCACAGTTGATACCACGCCATCCTGCTCCACAATTACACAGATAACTGTTCACTAAATCAGAGCATGTTCCACCATTAGCACAAGGGTTACTGGCACATTCATCAATATCTAAGACAAATAGAGGTGATATGTAAGAAATAGCAAAACTCAAAATTTGCAGACATGAATTTTAGCCATTAATCACAAGTATTCACTTAATGCTTGACAGCAACAAATTTGCTCAAACTGGCATAATTCACAATTTACAAAAAAATGTTCTCACAAAATTGAACAAGGGAACAAGGGTGCAGCGCCCTCATGCCATGGCCATGCGCCCCTTACCCTGGGAAGCAGATCCTCTGGCAACCATAAAATTGTGATTGACCAGGGATCACATGTGACCACAGTCTTCAACTGTGACCTGTCTGATAGTAATTTTGGCCCCAAGGAAGCCATAGAATACTCCATTTTAACTTAGAATTATCAAAAACACACCCTGGTAGGGAGAACCCTATCCCCCCCCACTCCCTATATTTAGGGGGGGCCTATGCTTGTTCCCTCATTTTTTTTGACCCCCCCTATCTAGGGAAAAGAAGAAAATTTAACCCCCCCTTTCACGGGCTTTTCCGATGAATTTCACCCCCTATCTAGGGAACTTTTCAGTCTAGAACTCCTTTTAAACCCCCCTTTTTTGTATATCTCGGGAAGTGTTTTGAAATACACCCCCTATTTTGAGAATCTCGGGAAAACAAGCCAAAAATACCCCCTTTTCTACGATTTTCTCGGGAAAATGTTCCCGAGACAGATCGTCAAAAAGTACCCCCTTTCCCAAGAAAATGGGAACGTGCATGCGGCCCCCTATGGATCCTGAGTGGGGGGGGGGCCGGGAACCCTATCTCCTTCTCCCTTTCTATCCCTATCTTTTTCTAAAAAAAACCCTGCATTTACAGTGTTATATATAACTACTACATTTTGAAGTGAAATCAGCTGATAATGTAGAATACAGTGATAACACATTCCAATAATGTATATACACAAATCAGTAATAACAAATTATTTGAATGTGTTTTTAAATTATGTACTTACTTGTTACACATGTGGCACCAGACCAGCCATCTACACACTGGCATGTGTATCCATTAACACCATCGATGCATGTAGCACCATTAAAACAAGGTGAACTACTACATTCATTAATATCTAAGAATAAATTGATGAAATAATAAAATAAGATAAAATGTTAGTAATACTACTTTTTGGCTCGTCTCTATTGTTCAATCAGTCTGCTAAACGTCAATAGCCAACTGTTTTTGTTCAACATTCACGAGGCAAGTACTCTTCTTTTTTTTTTTCATTTCAAACAGAAAATTTTAAAAGTTTCTTTGTTTCGCAACAATGCCCATTTGAAAGTACTCTTTTGTTGTTCCTAAACAGTATCCATTTACCAGTTTCCTTGTTCTCAACAATACCCATTTACTAGGAGAGGATTGTTTTTCATAACCAGGTTTTTCTCAAAAGCCAAGAGCACAACATTTTTAGAACGATTTTTAGATCAATGAGCTGTGTGAAATAACCGACAATGAAGACATCGATAAAGCTGTGACACTGTGATGTTTTTCAATGAAGCAAATGTACTATAGGAAAAATTAAAACCATGTTATGCTTTTTATTCATAAATGCTTGAGGCCTCTCGGTAAGTTGCGACCCCGGATAAGTCACGGTTTTTGCTTGGATCTCGACACCCACGACTTAGCGAGGGGTTACTGTACAACTGAATTGGGGGCTGCAGTCAGAATTCGAGTTAGGGGTGGGGATACATTAGAAAATCTTTCCAAATTTTACAGGTCAGTGACCTGTTGTCTTTCCATAGAAAAGGGATTACGAAACACAGGTACACTGTGACAACACAATACTTACAATGTCACCTAAACCTCCCTAAATTTGCAGTTCAACTTAAAGTACGGCAACTCAGATGCTAAGTGTAGTTATTGGCCTGTTTGGAGTCTTTGGTTCTAGTAAACATCTTCGGCCCTCAAACATTTGCCATAACCTTGTAGACATACTGTGGAATACTTTATTTTCGCTGGAATTAATTTTCGCTGAAAAGGCTTTTTGGGCATTTTGTATGGAACTTATTTTCACTGATTTTTGATGAATTTAATGTGAAATATAGGAAAAAAAGTATATTCGCTGGATTTTATTTTCACGGAATCATCCATTCAGTGAAAATAGCGAAAATAAATTCCAAGCGAAAATAAAGTATTCTACAGTACTTTATATTAATTAGAAAGTCAGAACAATTTACAGGAAACCAATAAATCATTTGTATAGAGTAGGACATGATATTTTGTAGGAATACCAATTGAAAGAATCTTACTTATTTCACAGTTGAATCCACTATATCCCACAGCACAGTAGCATTGATAACTGTTGGAACCATCAGTACACTGAGCTCCATTCCGGCACGGATTTGAAGCACATTCATCGATATCTGAATATAAAACAAGTGTAGATTAAATCACATTTGGTTGCTCACATGGGGTAAAAAGAGAGGTTACCACATGACAATACCATCATTGAAGATGAAATCATTGCTAATCACTGTGATTTGATGATCATCAATTCCTGCCAATAGGAGTAATTGTATGACAGACATTGTACACATGATTACAAAATCTGAAGATTACTACAGTATATCAAAAAATGATATTTCAGTTGTTATAAATTTGTGTTGATTGTTAATTCTGTTCATATATCAAAATATTGAAGCAAATAAGTCAAATAAAAACAGATACCGGTATTACGATATTTGTAAGAGGATGAAGTGGTTCGATCTACTTCACCATGATGAAAACTTGTAAACATAATCCTAATTTCTGACTCACAGCACATATAAACTGTTAGCGTTAGCTAGGGCCCAATCATTAAAACTCTGGGGGCATTACACAATACTGACAATTTATTTCCTACTCAGTTTTTAATGAAGAAGATATGTTTTCGAGACAGACTTCTGATTTTTTTTTCAAAATTTTCAACATCAACACTTTCCAGTGGCGTGGCTCATTCTATTCTTATTCAGTCTTACAAAAGAGAATCCCAAAATGTCAAAAACACATTCACTGTTCTATATACAATGACATTAGACTGCACATGACTGTCAGAGAATGGCATGACAGTAAGGTACTTCTCCCAAAATGGAGAATATCTTCAAATCGTGAAACATTCTCCTGATTACAGTGATTTATTTTGACAAATATCAACAATAAAATTATATTGCAGGATAATATCTCCTAATAAAG